ATTTCTAGTCAAGAAACGGTTGCAGCACAGAAATATGTCTTGGATCAAAGGATTGGAAGATATTTAACTCTTCTCAATTTCGACTGTTTGAAAACCGAGTGACCTGGGGAGAAGCCAGGCACAATTGTCGAGCACACAATGGAGACCTGGTATCAATTCATAGTCAACAGGAGCAGGACTTCATATCAAACAAACTTCTCAATAATGCGTCAAGAGGTCAGTGATTATAAGAATATGGATGTTGAATTTATTTTTTTTTTAAAGTACTCCATGCCTGTTGAAGACTCTTTTCAGCATTCGTTGAATTGTTTGGAGTTTTTCCTTTTTTTCTTACTTTCCTTTCCCGCTGTCTTTTTTAATGAATTCAATGATCTTTAAATATCTGTGTTTGTATATATCTTATTTCATCAGGAAATTCTTCGAATACCTTGTTAATAATGCTTTGGAAACTGGATGGAATCTCAGACGTTGCTTTAAGGTAGGTATTTACTGTTTATTTGATTGTTTTGTTGTTGTTGTTTTTTGATTAACTGATTTACTACTTGATTTGACAATCAAATTTGTTTTTATCTTGAATAACTCTCACAAAATCTTATGGAGCGGCTACTTTCAAGTGTCGATGGATACATTATTCTCTCTCTGGGGGTGGCGTATTGATTGTCAGTTTCTTGTATATATTTTGGTTCTCCCCAGCCTCCACGGAGATGCTGTAATAAAGGATGTCGATGGATACAAAGCCCTGTACCTTGATGGAAACAGTCAGAACTATGCAACTACACAACAAATGAGCCTCATACAGCGAGGTTTCACTATCGGAGCCTGGGTCAAACTATTTTAAACACCTGCTTCTGAGGGCTTGGTCTACGGGGACTGGTCTGCACCTTTCCAATTCGCCTTAAAGATCGACAAGGAGGGAAAAGTCCACTTCAAATTGATGTTTGATTCTACAAATACCACAACGTTGACGCCCAATAGGTAGATTAGCATGATTTACCATTCATTCAATTAATCAGACATGTGTTTGTGTGTAATAATCATCAAAATTTCATTATTCAAAAGATCACTCACTTTCGATGCCTGGACTCATGTCCTTGCTTCATGGTCATATGTTGAAAGGATCACGACCATTTTCATCGATGGAAAGCAAGAGGCGACAAACGTTTTGAACATGGAGCACGCAACTCTTATGCCCACGAACCATCAATATGATATAGGACTGGACAGAAAYGAAAGTAAAGTGCTTCACGCTTATATAAGAGAGCTGACTGTTTTCGCTTGGCCAGCCATACCAACCAAGAGAGTACTTGATCGAATCGGTATAAATTGATACCATATTTGTATACAAAATAACGAATCGCTGCGTGCATGGACGTGCATTAACACTTAACATTTCTGACAAGATGTGAAATGGATTTGATTAGAAAAATCACCTTTCGTTTGCAGGCCAGTTAATCTACATTCCCCATTAATTAATCTAACATTTGTCACACAGGTCGATATCAGAAACGCGATGCTGTGTGGACAGGACTGAACGATCTCTCCCAAGAAAATACATTCACCTTTAGTGACGGGACTCCCTTGTCGTTCACATACTGGAACGATGGATGCCCAAATGATAAGTACAAGTTTTCAGACTGCGTTTTGTTCTCCTTGGAGACTGGATTAACCCATAAGTGGTTGGACGGTTCGTGTGGATTCGAACTTCCTTATATTTGCAGAAGAAAAATGAACTAGTTGACAATTGCAAGAAAAGTGCATGAATACAACACGATGATAGTACAAGTTAGGGTTTGAAGACAACGTGAAATAATCCGATATTTAATAATTTTTTGAAAATGTGAAATTTAGTTGGAGAGGTTTGCACAAAATGATAAATATGTCTATAATTCAAAATCAAAACAGGAGTTTAAGGATATGACTAAGGATATGGCAAGCTAGGCTGATGATGAGATGAAAATGAGGTCGAAGATGCAGATGAGGTTAGATATCAGCTTAAAACAAGGATTAAGGCTGAATTTGGAAAAGGGATATGAGATTGAAGATGAATAATTTAATTTTTTGGGATGGATACGACTATGAAGATGAGGATGAGGTTGATGTCGGACACAAGTTGAAAAGGAAGATGAAGTTCAAGATGAAAAGGTCGACGATGAAGATCTCGATTGACATGACCATGAAGGTGAGAGTTGAACAGGAGGATGAAATTCAAGATGAGAAGGTCGACGATAAAGATCTCGATTGATATGACCATGAAGGTGAGAGTTGAAAAGGAAGATGAAGTTCAAG